GGGTCTAGATTTTTGATAATTTTGACGGGTTGGAGGTGAATGCTAATAGGCTGGCTGGGTGTTATAAGTGTGGTAGGCAGTAGTGGATTGAGGATATCTGGGAGGTGAAGGTTGGTATGTGGGTGTAGGTATTTGGTATGTGAGTGGGGATTTTGGACCTTGGGCTACCATCACTCCCCCTACTTCCTTCTTCTTTGATATACCCCCTGACTATAATGCTTTGTTCGTAGCCTGCAATGCCTCAAAATTAGTTACCATCCCGTTCTTGATCCCTTCTTCAATCCTTTCCCTGAGTTTGATGATGTCGGATAATTTTTGATTTTCGATGACCATTAACCTTTCAAGTATTGTGGATCCTGGGCCCTGACGAAGAATTTGTTCATCTACTCTTCTTCAAATGCCGTCCTAACCTTTGCAGCTTCTGACCTCCATCGAGTAGCATACTCGCGAAAAGTTTCCGTTGGTTTCTTCTTGAGCTTTTGAATGTAGAAGACGTCTGGTGCATTCTCTGTATTAAACCTCAATAAGTTCATGAAGTCCGATGCCATGCTTACCCAATTAACCCACTACTTGGGATTTTGACTGATATACCAAGATAGGGCGTCTCCAGTGAGACTCCTCATGAATAGCTTCATGCGAATTCTTTCATATTTCCTAACTCCCACGAACTTGTCACAGTATGTCCATGTACCTTCGGGTCACCTGTTTCGTCAAACATCTCGAACTTAGGAGGTTTGCAACCCTTCGGCAGTTATATGTCTTGCTGAATGCATAGATCTTCATAATTCAGACCCTCAATTCCTTTTCCTCCTTCAACACCCTGGACTCGACTTGTGAGCTTCTTGAGCTCCTCTGCCATGTTCTTGATGAGTAGTTCCTTCTCGGCGAATTCTGGTGTGTATGAGATTGGTTGAGCGGAGTGGGGTAAGGTTTCTACGTATATGGGATTGTTTTGGTGGGTGCCGGGGGTTTGAGTGTAGTGGTGATCATTTGTTGAATCTTGCGGAACAGGGGTAGGTTGTGGGGTATTCTGAGGAGTATGGTAAGTGGTTTGTGGGCATTGAGTCGGGAGATTCTGGTGTGGAGGAGGTGTAGGTACTGGTGGAGGAATAGGATTTTGGGGAAGTGTTGCGCATTGATGGGGTGCAGGAGGATTTTGTGGACGTTGGTTTGGTGTGTTTTGACGAGGTACTGGGTTTTAAGCATTTTGCTGGTTAATATCTGGGATGCTTAGGGTGAGGGAGAGGTTTGCCAAGTTGCGGACCTGCTCAAGTTCCCCTTGCAATTCTAGTATCTTCTGTTCCAATCGTAGGACCAAATCATTTTGTGCCGGAGTACTCTGACCGTCTGAAGTTTCAATATTCTCAGCATGTGTAGCGTTGTCTTTCCTGACACCTCTCATATCATCCATCTTAGCCTTTCCTTTGCTTTTTGGATTTCTCGGAGGAGGAGGAGGTGGATGGCCTCTGGATCTGGTGTGATATACTGACGATGCCAGTATGTGCTAACCAACCTTAGGGGATGGGAGTAATCAAAATAAAGAAAAAAAATGCAAGAAGGTAAACAAGTCAGTAAGGATTCTAAAAGGTATCTGCAGTATTTAAACATGTTTGGAGGAATATAAATTTGCGTCCTAATTTGGGGAACCTCGTTGTGCCCAAGGTAAGCCTAGCGACAAGTAGATTTGGAGAGATTTAATATCGATAAATGCCTCATTTCATTAATGTAATAAATAAGACGAACCTAAAAAATAAATAAATGAGTTACTAATGGCATCTGCCTTATTACATTCGAATTCCAAAATGGTTCAAAAAAAACAATAGATAAACCTAATCTACTTGGTCCCGGAGGGACAGTTCTCCATATTTGACCTTCTTGGCTCCGCCGATTTGTTTGGTTGAATGTCCAATAAGGAGGGTAAGTTTCCAAGAACCCTTTTCACGTAATTTTTGATCGCTTGGCGAAAGGTCTTACCACCAATCCAACAATAGCAGTGGTATACTTCGCACCATGCCGAACCAGGGGACCTTGTGCCTCATTTTCTGCAAAATAAACAGAGTTAGACCCTTGCCCCCTCCCGATTTGACTACTTACACATTAACGATTAGCATGTCAGCATTTATCTCTCCAAATAATGCACATATCGTTGTTGCGCCCGTTGGGATTATGGAAATCCCGGTGGACTTTGGACAAGGTTTTTCTTAGAGGGTTATTATGCGGACAACATATTAACCCAGGCTAGGTTTGATCATGATGCATGTACAGTCATTATCAGAGTAAGGTTTCTACAGAAGTCTAGACTGGTACCCTCAAGCGGACAACTTGAGAGGGAAAGGCATGAAACCATCGACTGCACCGCTAATCGACTAGTTTTACCGCAAATAAGCCTTTCCAAATTTAAAGGTGACTTTAGGAAGAGTGCGAGCACTTATCAAGTGCCGCTATGGTATTAGTACGCACGAGTGGAATATGATGTTGAGCATTATGTAAAAAAAGAAAAATAACACATTGTCAAGTATTTTCACATGTTTAAAAATAAATGTAGTATTGAATAAACGTAAAGACATAAAGGAAAAAAAATAACAGGGAAGAAGTTAGTTTGTGCAATGAAGAAATTGTAATAAAGTAAATAAAGGGGGTAAGGATTGGGGAGAGACATGATATAGCAGAATTGAAAGTCGGGAATATGATTTGGAAATAAGGGGAAACACATGTTGTAATTCATTTAAGCGAAGAATTGCATGTGAGTTCATAAAAGGAGAAATAGGGAAAAGGATGTGCATGTAGCAAATAAAAGGAAAACAAGAGCAAAATAACAAAAATACGCATATCGGGAAAGACTAATTCATGTAGATCAAGTTCATAATGGTAAGAGACTAAAGATATACCCTGTAGAGTCGCCATGCTGTCGTGCCCCTTTTTTCCTCACGAAATCGGGTTTCGACATTTGATGACTCCTTTGAAAGAGTAGGGAAACAAAAATTGGTTAGAGTCGCCACCTAACAGATTAAGGTGCGTTAGGGCACCTAGAGCAGATAACTCGTGTTATACCAGTTTGCGTCATCAGAGATCGGGTAAGGGCTCAAAATTACATTGAGGGGAAGGTGTTAGGCACCCCTCGAGGTCCACAACCGTGGGTCCCGGCTGAACTTAATTTATGAATTAGTCTAAGAAAGAAGCGAGAGGAATATTTAATAGGGATGGGGAGTCCTTAATTGTTTAGCCTAAAGGATCACCCCGTGCAACATAAATTATACTTCGTAACTCCCTCGAGTTGGGGTGTTACTCGTATTATTCAGCAGGCACAGACTATCATCTCCTGCTACCCGATTACTATCTTTAAGTTGTTACTTAAAGCACTCTAGTTGATTCTAGTGCGTTTCCTATGCGTGCACTACCCGTCTATCGTCCTGGAGGCATTAGGACTTCTATTTGGGATAGTTCTAGACTAAGCCTAGGTTGCTCAAAATGCTTAAGACTAGGTGACAAACAGAACATGATGGGACTTGCAAATACAAAGCAAATATGGGCTCATGTTAACCTCCGCACATAAACAGCAAATGCACGCAATTAATTGACAATCTTTATCGATCCTAATATCCTATTGGCAGGAAATCTATGTGAGAAATAGGCGAGCCGTGTTATATAAAATCAATTTCATCGAGGCGAGTATTAGGACCTATTATTGGCCTACTGACTTTAATGAATATCGTCTGGGTACTTCAAACAGTAATGCATCACGCTTACAGAATCAAGAATTATTATTAAGTCCTATAGGCATATTGTCTAAGTGATTGACAGTGGCGATTGTATTCAGAACCAATTAGTAAAATCCTATAGGCATGATATCTAATGTCAAAATGGTTTTAACCCTATGAGCATGACTTCTAGATGCACACTGATTTTAGCTTCATAGAGACGTTTCATAGCCTTGTATTTCCCTTTAATCCTATAGGCACAGGGGCAGATTTACATGCTAATTTTAGGTGCTCAAGCACCCATTGAACATGACGTAAACTAGGTATAGCTATAATAAAAATATAAGAAAGAGGATATAAGATTTTAGTGAGCACCCAATAAAGAAAATGACTGATGGGTGCTGTGGTTCTGAAGTGGGAGTTAAAACCTTTCCTGAAAGCAAAGACCCAGGTTGGATTCCCGTCACAGCACTGCCTTTATATTTTTCAATGTCAGCTTTTTGTCTTTTGTGGAAAAGTTTTTAACTTTTCCTATTCCCTTTAGGTTTTAGTTTAGGTTGTCAGATTACGTTTTAGTTTAGGTTGTCAGCGTCTTTTTAACCTTTCTCTGCTTTTGAACTAAATTTTCCTTTTTTAGTTTTTATTTTCTCATTTTCCTACTTCCTTTCACTTTAAGCTTTATTATATTAATAATTAATTAGATTTAAGGATATAAAAGGCCATCTTTACCGTCTTACAAAAAACTTTAAAACAAAACCCTTCTTGAGTTTTTACTCAATAGGAACGTAGAGAAGGGAAAAACGAAGGACAAAGTAGACAAAACAATTAGCAAACTCTCCGGTCATTCACAACAATCTTATAATCAGAACATAGCACAAGGTAATAAGATTTGATATTTTTATTAAAGTAAGAAATTAAAAATATTCTTAGAAGGATTTTGAATTTTTTTCATGCTTATCGCTTATTCTTTGAAACTTGAAAGCAGATTCAATGAAAAAATTATCTTTGTTACCAACTTGCTTGATTCCAAAACTTAATTTTGACAATATATGCAGGTTATTAATATTGGTGGGTTGTTCGATTGATGAAATTGTGTTCATCAGCTCATTGCTTCAGAAATTTGTAAGTTTTCATCTTGTCTTTCGAAAAATTAAATAGTTATATCGTTATTGCTGTGTTGTTGATTGAGGGGCATGGTTTTCCCAATAGAAATTAATTAAATTATGTGTAGTAAATTCCAGATGAAATTAAATTGAACTAAATCTTGTTTGTAGGAATTCTTCATCAATCTTTTGTGCCAAGATGGATAAGTTTGTCACAAGATCAAAAGTTGGGCAACCAAGTTCTAGTTCTACTCATCCATCTGTTGCGTCATCCGTAGCCCCGGAAATTCAAAGGGATATATCTCTTTCAGATCATAATTTAGGATCTCCCAATACTGACCCGGGGGATAGGAAGTCCATTGCAGAATATAGCCCTAATATACGAGATAAAATTAGAAGATATTATATTCAAATGGGACCTTGCCAGCCTACGAGTCATGATTTTCCTAAAACTAAGTTTGGGACGACAATGCGTCAGTTTTATCATGGTTGGTTTAAGGGTCAACATTCAAAGTGGTTGGAGTACAGTATATCAAAAGATGCTTCATATTGTTTGTGTTGTTATTCGTTCAAAAATGAACATGAAATTCATGGAAATACGGGGGATGCTTTTACAAAAAATGGCTTTAAAGGTTGGAACAAGGCTATAGAAAGATTTAAAGTTCATGTTGGAGAGGTAAATAGCATCCACAACAAGTGTTTCAATAGGATGATTGATTTAATGAATCAATCACAATCAATTCGCACTTCTTTTGAAAAGCAATCCGAGAAAGAAAAAAGTGAGTCTCGACGTCGCTTGAGTGCTTCAATTGATGTGGCTAGGTTACTTTTGAGACTAGGATTGCCATTTCGTGGGCACGATGAGAGTCAATCTTCTACAAATAGAGGTATCTTTCTTGAACTCTTGCAATGGTATGGAGATATTGATCCGGATATTGGAAATATTATATTAGAAAATGCTCCAAAAAATGAAATGATGTGTTCCCCAATGATTCAGAAAGATATTGTTGATGCTTGTGCAAAGAAACAATCAAAGCTATCATTGAATACTTGGATGGGGATTTTTTCGGGGTACTATTCGATGAATCAAAGGATATATCACACAAGGAGCAAATGGCACTTGTTTTGAGATATGCTAACAAAGAAGGCGAAGTAATTGAGAGATTTGTTGGTATTGTTCATGTCAATGATACATCTGCTCAATCATTGAAGAAGGAAATCGACTCTTTTCTTTCGTATCACTCATTAAGTCCATCTCAAATACGTGGGCAAGGTTATGATGGAGCTAGTAACATGCAAGGAGAGCTACGTGGTCTTAAGACTTTGATTCTGAGTGAAACTCCATCGGTGTATTGCATTCATTGTTTTGCTCACCAATTGCAGTTAACACTCGTGGCTCTTGCAAAGAAGCATTCAGATATAGATGACTTTTTTTGTATAGTTACTAATATGTTAAATATTGTTGGATCATCTTTTAAGCACAGGGATTTGCTTCGACAACATCAAGCTGAAAAATTAGAGGAGTTGCTCATATCAGGTGTAGTGCATACTGGACGAGGACTAAATCAAGAACGTGGGCTTCAACGACCAGGTGATACTCGTTGGGGTTCTCATTATAGAATGTTAGATAACCTCATTGTCCTATTTTCATCAATTATTCATGTTCTTGAATTTGTTGCTCGTGAGGGTCCAAATTATGCCGATAGACATGTTGCTGAAAGTCTTATGACTAAGATTAAGGAATTTGAATTTATTTTTATGTTGCACTTGATGTGGAAAGTTCTAATGATGACAAATGATTTGAGCTCCTCATTACAAAAGATGGATCAAGATATTGTCAATGCTATGGGACTCCTCACTCATACAAAGCAAAGATTACAAAGGATGAGGAATAGTGAATTTCAATCATTAATGGATGATGTCTCTTCATTCTGTGATAAACATGAGATAATGATCCCGAAGATGGATGCTCTCTATTTTCCTGGGAAGTCAAAGCGTAGAGCTCTTGATGTTGCATACTCTCATTACTTGCATGTTGAGATATTTAATGGTGTTATTGATTTGCATCTTCAAGAGCTTAGAAGTCATTTTGATGCCGTGAGTACCGACTTACTTCTCGGTATGGCTAGTTTAAATCCACTTAATTCATTTGGTAATTTTGATAAGAACAGGATAATGAAGTTGGCTGAATATTATCCGAATGAGTTTGATAGCAACAAGCTCCGGGATCTTAGTTTCCGGCTTGATAGTTTTATAGTTTATGCTCGTGGTCATGGTAAGAGGTTCTTCAACATGAAGGGAATTAGTGACCTTTCTAAATATTTGGTTAAGTCAGACCTGCATCAAACTTGGCCACTGGTGTATTTACTTATCAAGTTGACTCTCATTCTTCCTGTTGCTACCGCTTCTGTGGAACGTGCTTTCTCATCCATGAACTACATAAAAAATGAGATTCGTAATAGCATAGGTGATGAATTTTTAAATAGTTGTTTAGTTTGCTATGTAGAGCGTAAGATATTCTCAACTGTGAACAACGATGCCATTATTCATCGTTTTCAACATATGAAAAGTCGTCGATCACAGTTGTGAATTGTGAATAGAAGTCCTTTTGGTAATGATAATACTATTAGTAGTTCATTATGACTTGTGACTAAAAGTATTTGTTGGTAATGATAATATTATTAGTAGTTTTCACAATAAATCTTTTACTCTTGCATTCGAATAATTGTGCACTTATACTATGCGATTGATAACACCTTTATGTTAAAGGAAGTGAGCACCCACAACCTTAAAATCCTAGATCCGCCACTGTATAGGCATGCTTTCTAATTACTGGCCCGAATTAAATCCTATAGGCATGATATCTAGGTTTGAGACTTATTTTAATCCTATAGGCATGATATCTATTACTGAATTGATTTAAATCCTATAGGCATGATATCTATCATGCAGTACAAGGGCAGAAATTGTACACATTACCAGCCAACAATTGAATCAAACATTGAGGTCCTATAGGCATGATTGCTAACACATATTGATGCGTCATATAGGCAGGAATTCTAATGTACACACCATATAAAAAGCGTACGAGTTTAAGCAGAATTGACATCACCAATGAAAGTCTTATAGGCAGGATTTTTAATACACATTGTAGAACTTAACAGTTTTGACAAATGAGCAGAATTAATAGCATAGATGAAACCAGATTAATAGCATAAAGGAAATAAGAAATCTCCCCCGATTTTACTAAATACCCAGAATCTGTTTATTACAAAGTTATTACAGACCGGATAATGAATATAACAGTAATAAAAATACACTATAGGGAGCCTTCATCAGGCCCAAATAAACCTGGGAACCAGGCCTTCAAACCAATCACCTTCGAAACTTATTATACAGGTACACCATAGCCAAATACGAGTGATTCACTTATAGCCCATGTAGAATTATGCTTCCAGTGTGTCAAAGTTCCCAAGGGCCTTAGGGACCCAGGGCAATGCTCACACCGGAACCACATATTCAGAAATGATTCAACAGAGATTGGGAGCCTGTTCCTAGTGCGTCAGAGTTCACAAGAGTCTCACATGGACCCCGAGCAGTGCTTGCACTAAGGTGGTTGAGGATAGACGCTAAAGGACTAAGGCTGGGAGTTTTTCTTTTAAAAGAGTAACAACATACAAAGGAGGTAGAGGCAGTTTAAAACAATTTTTGATTTTAGAAGCGAACAAAGTTTACAAAATAGAACTTGTACGCAGGATTACATTGTGAGAACAAGCAAGGTTCATGCTCAAACACACAACCTAAATAAGTTGAAATTTGGAAAAAACAGTCTAGTTAAGCTAGGTGTTTAATGCTAGCATTTGGGACAACCAAACAATCCGAACACTAACATGAATTTCAAACATGTAGAAAGCATATTATCAAAACATATAAACAACAGAACAAAAAGCCTAGTAACAATACAAGTTCAAAGGCATAAGATTGATTGGCTACTTAATCTTCTAACATTGTCCTAAAAGTACTCAAATTCATACTAGGTTCAGAACACACAAGAGGCAGATTGAGCATATTTTCTTTAGAGGATTCATATTATTCAAAACAATTAATCTAAATTAACAGTGTTAACCATAGGTTTAGAAGAAAAGCATGTAGATAGGCGGAATCATGCTTAGAGAGGGATTTTAGACACGCTGGATTATAGACTCAGATCATGACACATAAAAAAATGGTATGATAAAGGATAGTCACTCACCAGTTAAGCGAGTAAAACCAAAATAATACCATGAAGTTGAGAGTCCAGAATGTTTGGCCTTGGCTTTCCGCCGGGCAAGACCAGTAGTAAGCGAGAGAACAGAGATAGTATAGAACCAAAAACTTTAAATTTTAGTGAGAGTCTATAGAGTTCGAGTCTGTCTAAAGGGGAAAGGGAGAAGGGTTTAAATAGTATTCAATTAGGCGAGCAAATACGGAAAGAAATCAAACACACATAAGTAAGGAAAGAAATTAATCACAGAATCAATTGAAGTCTAGTTTTAGGAAATATAATACAAAGTTCAGTAAATTATCAGGGAATAATGACGTGTAATTAGGCGAGTAACACATAGAATAAGGAAAATATAATATGGAATCAATTAACAATCAGTTTCAGGAAAAATAAGGTAAATGAATAAGAAAACACGGTTTGATTAAATAAGGAAAATATTAGTCCTATATGAGAAAGGAAAGAGTATCGGAAAATCAGTACAAGTTTCGAACCCTAGTTTTAGGTTAACCTTCACAAAATCGGCAGAAAAATAAGGCAATGGATCACATAATGCATACAGTAAATGTAGACAGAAGATTATTCAAAAAAGAAAACCAGAATCGGACCAGATTTGGTTCAATCAAAGATCTGAAACCCTTATTTTAGGTAAACCACAAATCGATAAAAAATAAAGGCAAAGAATCATATATTTTAATTGAATGAACATAGACAGGAGGTTATTCCGAAGAAACATAAGACCGAACAAGATTTGGTTCAATTAAAGAAGATCTGAAACCCCAATTTAGGTAAGTAAAGGAATTAACAGAAATAAGCAGATTCATGCGTAATGGAGTGAATATAGACGAGGTAATGCTAAAAATCAAAGTTTGAACCAGTTGAGGTTCGAATCAAAGAGAATATGAAACCCTAACCTTTTCGGCTAAGTAAGAATCCACAAGAGATTCGTAAAACAACCATACTCACAAGGAACATGGGATGAACACAGACAAAATACACAATAGGTTAAGGATTTTGAACCAGATTTGGTTTGAATCTCTTAAGATCCGCTTGCCATTTTAGGCAAGCCATTAGGAAATACCAAAACTGGGTAGCCAGTAAGGAGAAGGGGCCAAAAGGTAAGGAATCATCGATTGATTCCATTTTTTGGGTTTAGAATCAGGGAGGTTTGCCTGACGGCGCTAGGGTTTTGAGAGGAAGAAGATGAAGGAGAGGGAGTGTATAGAGACAGCGGGTTGGGGTTAAAATGATTAGGGTTTGGGCGGATGGGTGTAATTAAAAGGGGTGAGGTGATATGAGCCGTTGATCTTGAGAGATCAACGGCTGTGATATAAAAGGGAATTGGGTCGGGGTTTTAAACGGGTATGGGTCTGGGTATTGGGTATTTAATGTGGGCTGGTGTATTGGGCTAGGGTAATTGGGTAGTATAGGTAATTGGGCTAGATCCGAATTGGGGTTTTAGGGGGCTATATTTTAAATACCCAATTCAACCAATAAATAATTTGTAAAAAATAATTAATAAATAACAAAAATATCACTTGTGCATGAAAATGATTTAAAATAATTACTTAACATAATAAAAATATAAAAAGTTATTTTCTGTATAAATAATGTAATTATACATGCATATGGGCTATTATTGCAAAATGTGCAATTTAGCCTAAGGATGCAAAATACAATTATAATAAGTATATATAAAAATATTTGAAGCTTAATATGAATATAAAATGATAAAAAATTAAATAATAAATCAATATAAAATTATTTGTGATGCAATTAATAATTATTTATATAAAAATGCAGGCATAAATTGATTAATAGCCTTTAAAAATTATGAAAAAAGTACTTGGTGATGCTGATGCACTATTTTGAAGGTATATATGTGTATTTGAGAGATATGAGGGAAAAATTGGGTATCAACAGTATCCGCCTAATTTGAGCCGTAGTTGTATGCTTCACACATGCATACACATTATCATAATATTTTATTAGTCCAGGAATCTGTGATTTATATCCATTGACTGTATACATGTATTCATGTATATGCTTTCGGTGTTATGGACTAGTTCGACAGCACGTGAGTTGTCCGTGCGGGTTGAGTTGATTGTGGTACGTGAGTTGTCCGTGTGGTTTTTATAGCACGTGAGTTGTTCATGCAGTGTTGGATAAGGATCCATCCCCCTGGGTTCGTCCACTCATGTTTCTCCTTGATGACGTACACGCGCTTATGGAATATTTATAAGTGTTGGGTTTTTGTGTATCCTCTCTATATGCAAACTCCTTGAGTGTATACATAATTTCTACTGCATATCTCCTCTATATGTTATCCTTGGAATTATATACATGCCCTTTTTACACATATCTTCTCTATATGCTGCTTAGTTGATAAAAGGATACTCAGTATATATCTTCTCTATATGTCTCTCTCTCTCTATGTAACTTGATTTGTCAATATATATATATATCTTTTCTATATGCCGAACTGTTGTTCCGATTTGATGCTAATGCATATATTCTTTATTGCACTATGCCTTATTTGTATTATATGAGTATATCCCGGCATTGTTTTCGCGTTTGTTCATATTCATGACTTGCATAGATTTATCATGTGAGTATAATTGGTGATTCTTGCCACAACCTCTTTGAGGTTAGTCAAGATACTTACTAAGAACATAGGTCAGTTGTAATCATACTATACTCTGCACTTAATTATGTGATTTGGGAGTTGGACCAAGTTGAGCTGTTGGTGATTATTGTTTTGCTACGGAGAACAAGGTAGAGATGCACCCTGATCGTAATCCCTAGAATCTCCTTCTATCATTTTAATACTATATTTGATTCAGGCTACTCTTTGGATTTTCAGAATCATATTCTTGTATTAGAGCTCATGACTTTGTATTACTAGTTCTAGGGGATTTATGTATTATCGTAGTCTTTATATTTATTTCGTAATTTGTTATCATGTATCATTATTGCTTTATGATTGGTTTGCCTAGTAAGTGGGTTAGGTTCTATTACGACCACTGGGAGTTTTTGGTCGTGAGAAGTTGGTATCAGAGCCCTACGTTCATAGGTTCTATGGGTCATGAGCAAGGTTAGTAGAGTCCCCCAGGTCACTACAGAGACATTTGTACTTTTCTTCGAGAGACTACCAAATTGTTAGGAAAAATGTCTCTTTCATTTATTCGTGCAGACTGCTTTATCTTGATGTTTGAACCAGTGTCCCAGGCCAAGGCTGGGAGGGGCTGAGGTCGAGGCAAAGGAAGAGGCGGAGCATGTGTCACAGATAGAGGCCCCGCTAGAGTAGCTACTATGGTGCAACTAGTAC